ACGTGTTAGGCTCAAGTCGTGCTAGCAGCGTGCTCAACTGAGAGTATTCATATTTGACGTGCCAGCATGATGCCAGGCTGGACTGATGATCTTGAGATTGAAGTGCCTTATACCGAGATTTGGAGTTCGACTTTATCTTTTCCGAACGTAGAAAAGGACAGCAAATGAAGGATAGAAAATAACGCAATATGTAACGTTTTTATTTGTTCTTATTTCTTAATGCGACTTGTAACAATTTCCCGGTTTCTTACCGTGCAGCTGACGATATTTTGCGTCAGATAGGTACTCTGGATGTTTCCATAATATTTGTCAATTATTGGAAGTTTTACATATCTATCATAGCCACATTTAATTAATAGAATTACGTTATTCCTAATGAAAAATACTCGCTTCTCACCTTAGTAATTTAATATTGTAAAATAAATTTTGAAACACTTTCCTAAACATAGTGACTTTTTTCTCTTCCGTATTTTGAGCATACTACGCATCTTCTTTGAGGTTTTGTTTTATTCTCCGTAGAAGGAATTTTTGAAATAAAGTGTTTACTTGCAAATCTTGAAACTGCATTATCTGGTACTGTGCTTGATATATTTCTTTTTTTAATGTTGTGTGTCACTAGTAGACTTTCGATTAACATTGTGCGAAATCGTAAATGATCATCTTTTGTAATTTGACTACTTCTTTTACAATACCATTTAGTACTGTTGCATTTGACAGGCGACGAGGTAATTTTTAATACCATTTCTGCAAGCGTTTCCTTTCGATCATATAACTATGAAGCATTTGATCTTTCAAGTCAACATCGCCTATCTATTAATTGTAGTTAAGGACAATTTTCAGTTTGATCTTTTGTTTTCCTTCCGTGGTTACTATATCTGTAAAATGATCGTGATACGTTGATATCATGGTCACAGTCTTCCCATCTTGTCATTTCAATAAAACAATAGGATCATCATGCTGTGAAAATGTTTCCCCTTTTTATAACTTCAATTTTTTTTATTTGACCGGAGACCCTACACAGTTTGTACCATTTATTTTGACTATCATAGTCAAATTTGGATAATTGTAAAAATTATCCTCCCAGATAGTGTATCTATGACATGAAAGTGATTCAGCAAGGTGCAATGCAATAATAGTAGTTTTGTTCGTATTTGGCGCAATTAGAGATAACGCACGTATAAACTAAAAATTTCCACAAGTTCCTACAACTCACTTCACATAACTCAAATGGTTTATGCCACATTTCGAAGTGTTGAGGGGAATATACTGCTTAAAAGACAATTTTCACTTCCATGCAGAAAGCGATTCATACATTGAAATCAGGATCATAAAATGTTTGAAATTTCTTATTTAGGTGTTGAATAATTGGAAATATCTTGAATAATTTCCCTTGTTTGTAAAACATACAAGGGACCTAGACGATTAGGATGGTCAAAATTGCCCTTAGAGGTTTTCTAATGAGCATTATACCGTTCAATAGATGACCAAGAAAAACCCATCTGTGCAAAATTTCAACTCTGTAACTTGTCCGTGAGGGTATTTAAAGGGTAAATTAGATTTGGGCGCTTTTGCCCCGAATCTGTCATATTTTCCGCATTGTTGCAATGTCCGCTTCTTTCAGAGAAAACTTCCCGTTGTAAATTGCACGTATATCCACGTCCTTTCAATGAAAAGAAAAGAAAAAGGCCGTTGCCTGCTTATATGCAATTCACTAATCGCGTCAATGATCGTCAATTTCTTTACTAGAGTTATACTCACATTCACTAGTATTATCACTACTATCACATATACTTCCTAATAAATTTCTGTTAGACGAAATATCTTTACAGGTTGATGCCATAGCGCCGATTGATAGAATCGAACTACATTTCGTGATAGAAATTTGAAAGACTCGGTCTCTGCATACTGCAAACATATTTACGTGGTTCAGCCATCATGGAGAGACGTTAAAAGATACGATTTATAAACACAGGATCGAAATAAAAATAAGTAACGTGATGAATCAAGTGGCCGCTCGATGGTCCGGACACTAGACAGATGTAGGCCACTGTAAACAGCTCGAGAGTCCGTACATTACACGGACGTAATCCCTGAAAGGTTAAACTTCTAGTCCTGATGGGTCACGGCTGCTTAGCCAACTATCTTTTTAACATTGATAGGTGCCGCGACGACTCTTGTATGGAATAAGCCCGAATTCTCTGGGTCACATCTTATTTTCATGTCTCCATGTCTCCATGTGCTCTGTTCGCGAAAACTGAATCTTTCGGCCTGGAAGAACTCTTGGATAAGATAAGAGACAACCGTTTAAGTACACAGACTAGAGACTGTAGCTAACCGCGGTGTAAGTTAAGCGGCTTTACGATTCTTTGATTCACTCTCAGATTTTAAACTTTATACAAATTCTGAAGGAACTATTATGATAGCATGTTGTAACTCTAAGAATATTATAAGTGTCTATCTCTAATGTCTACATCTATAAGAAATCTGCATATTTTTTCAAGTTTTTCATTGTTTGCAAGTAGGATTATTTACTTACAAATTCTCAAAAATGCACCTCGACAACCATAACGTGTCACATTTTTTTTCAAAATTTATGGATGCATTTCAGTAGGGAAAAGTCAATCGATAACCGTGAAATCGAGAATACCTTATAATTGACCCCGTGGTCGCAATGCAGTGTTATAATTTTTTATAGCACATTACCCGTTTAAATTAGCTGATGGGCAGTTTTGACTTCCTTAACATGCCTATACCCTTTTCAGCTTATCAACCCTTGTGGCAGAAAACTACCGAATTAATCGTTAGGAAAATGACAGAAACAGCAGAAAGCAGGAAAATATTGATGCGTTTCGTGATCTTCCGTTGAATTATTGATGTCAGCATGCACTCAGATTGGATTTTCGTGTTTTATATACATTACCGAATAATGATACTCGTGTAGAATGTAATCGTGCAAGTGCATTAAACCATAATGTGCATTTTATAGTACATTTCAGTATCAGAATTGATACATCGTGACTCAATAATAAAGATAAAGTATGCGTCACTTTGATGCCTCCATCCGTAAATTTATTATGGCTCTGATACACTGATTCATCAATGTGTGTCTATTGAATTTCAATCGTTCTATAACTGTTTTATGAAGTTACAAGATTAATAGGATTTCGTTTCGATTACCAAACATTTGCTTCGTCATTGAAATTTTGAACTCGGCACAAACTGTGCGATATTCTCCTATCAATTGTAAATGTAATTTTTTCAGGATTTATATTCCTTTTTACATTTTATTCGTTTCGGAGTGATTCGTGCTCCGAATTTATTTTCAAATAGAAATGAAATTCACTTAATATCTAGAAAAGTCATAGTAAAGTATGGCCAACCAGATCTATTCTGCAGGGCATCACTATCCAATCGAACGTTTAAAACCAATTGTTTCAGTTATACGTTCTTCAACAATTTTGAAACAAACAGAGAATGAACATGTTCTGTTCAGCTTTATTAACATGTTATTAACGAAAAACGTGGGCCAATCAGAGAGCCAGTATCGTGGGGGAATGGTTGCAAGGACGTGAGTCAAACCATATCACCGCACCGATTGGTCCGTATGTTCCGTTAATAACTCGTTAATGAAACGCAGGAAATATTCTGGTAAAGGGAAAGGTTATTTCAGATGACCCCAGGAATCGCCCCTTTCAGGGGTTCCAACATTTTTGGGACATTGATAATGGCAACTTGGTTGCAAAGAAGTTTATGCAGATGTATTTTGCTGTACCCAGTGGGACAAATAAGTTTCGAGACTCGGACCATATCTCAATAACTAATAGTGTCAGCTATGTTTTTAGACCGACGTTTGGAAGCTGTGACATTCATCTTTCCGGTAATATCAAGTTTGGTTCAATCGGTTAATAAGTAGCAAAGTTGTAACAGTTCTCCCTAAACAACTTTCTTGTCAATGTTGAAATATGACCAAAAATCGTTGCGTGTCATAATCATTCTAAAGAAGTCGTTGCAGCCGCCAGAAATGTTCCAAACTTCCTGAAATCAATTGTTACGGATGTCGAAACATAGAGCTTTCGGTACGACCCAGAAACCAAGCGTGAAAGTGCGGAATGGAAGTCGAAAGATTCATAACAAGCCAAAAAGCACGGAAGTTCCATAAAAAATCAAGACAATGTCTATTACATTCTTCGATGGAAAAGGAATTATCCACAGGGAATTAGTTCCAACTGGCGGAACAATTACTGGAACTTATTATTTCGAAGTTTTGAAACGTTTGATGGCCAGAATCCAACCAGAATTCAACCCGAATATCGTGATACAGAGACTTGGCGTCTGTTGTACGATAATGCACCGAGTCACACCTCAATCATTGTTCGCCAATTTTTGGTTCAAAATCAAGTCTGTGTGTTAAATCATCCACCGTATGTGCCTGATTTGGTCTCGTGTATCTTCTCCCTATTTACAAAATTGAAATTGAAGTTGAAAGGATGTGTTTTTAATGACATTTCGACTATCAAAACAGCTTCAACAAGAGTATTAGAGGCAATTTCACAAAATGAGCCAGAACACGCATTTGAATCACTGTTGAATCGCTGTAACAAGTGCATTGAAACTGGAGGAGAATATTTTGAATAAAAAAATCGAAAAATATTCATATATCCTGTTTCAATGATGCTTTCCTCGGCCAGTCTCGAAACGTATTTGTCGCACTGTGTATATACAGATAGTTTAATAGAGAATAACTTTATTACACTAAAATGATGGGGATGCGCGCACAAGCTGGAAATGAAATAAAGGTTTAGTTTGAAACAAAACACAGTGAGATGTGTTTCGATAACCAAAACGCGCATCGTTTGTCGGTAACAGACACCTTGTCAATAATAGACGAATCGATGAAATGGAATGTGCAATGTGTGTTATATTTTTATCAACCGCAGAAATTTTAATACTTAGAAATAGTATTAAATAAGATAAAGGGATGAAATAAATAAGTCATGGTCGACTCAGGAAAATTTTTGTTTTCTTTATTTTCTGTTCACCATGGTTACCAATGTAATAATAACTGCATCACTCAATATTGAAGTCATCGGTGCAGAATTCATGCAAACTGTTGCACAGCTGGATTTATTTTCCGTTTCGTGCTTTGCAGTAATTCTATAAAATCGAAAATAGAAAGTTTAAATATAAATAAAGATTATATTATATACACACATATGTATATATAATAAAATAAATTAAATTAATGAAATATATAGGGAAAGCACTGAGAACAATATTAATATCAAGGTATAAAATTATTGTTACTCTACCGGGCATAATATTTTCGCCAAGGGATGTTTACAATTCATCCAGGTGGTACACTATAATATAAGACAAAAATGTGTACATGAAATATAAGACAGAAAATACATTTAAAGAATTTAATAATACTGTTGCATTATTCTCAACATATTAAAATAATTAAGTGGAATAAACATTTATGTTACAATTAGTGTAGACAATAAAATTTTATTTTGGACTCGTAGCAAAAATTTTATTTTGCATTTGCAACAAAATTGCGTAACGAAATAACTTGTTGAAGACATAACAAAAAAATTATGAAGATATAAGTAGAATTTAATAATATTGCTATACCATTTTCAACTTATCAAAATTATTGAAACAATTCATTTTCATTTAATTTTTTTTTCGTACAATCGTCTTAGAAGATTTTTATTTTATATAAATATCAGCAGTCCGTAACAACGAATTTGATGCATCTTACAAATGATTACTTACTGCCTCCGTAGTTGGAATCAACCATCCCGACATGCACAAAACAGAAATAATAAGGATATAGAACCCAAACACTTGAGACATGTCTGTGCTGATTTTCTTCGCTCCCGTTTGATTTCAACGTGAAACTGAAAATTTTGTTCTTCCTTTTATACCACTGCGCAAATTAAAAGTTACGGCATTCGTTTTACTTCATATTCACGCGGCGAATGATAACTGCTACGACTGATACGGTTGGTATAGTCGTGACTAAAATGAGTCGAACATTACGAAAAACATTTTGAAAGAACGACAAAGTTTATGTTGTTATATTCACTATACTTAAGGTAATAATAAGTCCCTATGTTTAAACTAATCATTAATGTGAATATTTCATGTAATAATAAGTCGCCACACATGGTGATCCATTTAAATGGACTCAGTCACATATTTTGCAAATGATTGGTGATACTCAAAAATGTTTCAAATAAAAGTTGAACAGTTTCCGGGAGAACATAATCTGATATATGAAGTATATTATGTATCACATATTGTGAAAAATCATTGGTTTAAAATATATTTTAATTTTATTAATGCATAGTAAATCATCTATTTGAAGTTGGTGTTCAAAGATATGACCTTCAACCTGTATGCAGAGATTTATTCGATCTCTACAAGATCTTTCAATACATTCCACTGTTTCCATAGAAATTTTTTTATATGGATCCAGAGTCTTTTGTGTTAGTTCACTCAGAGTCGTGCAATTGTTTATGGAGACTTTATTTTTCAACTATCGCTATTCAGAATACGATATCTTAGGTGCAACGCGTATTAGTTATTGCTTGTTACATACTATACTTAAGGGACTGGACTCCGCAGCGATGCGATAAAGATAGAGGACATAGTTACCGACAAAATGATGGGTTTACGCTCCCCAAGATTTCGCCCTTATATGAAAATATTTTTCGCTGGAAAATGAGTCATTCGAAAGAGGAAGGTAGCAAGCTGCTCACCGTCCTCATGATTTAAGGCTATTATGCAGATATTTAGTAATATAAGTGTTGAAAAGTAGGTCAAAAATTGAGTCATAGAATTCAAGCATTTTTATGCTATGAGATTTCTAGATGAAATCATGAAAACGTCGCGCTGCTTTGAACCTTCCTCTTTCGAATATCACATTTTTCCAGCGAAAAATATTCTCATATAAGAACGAAAACTTGGGGAGCGATTCAGTATAGTTTTGCAGGATCTGAATTTATAATATCGAGAACATAGTGAGACTGGTGCGTATAGGGTGACTCCTAAGTAGGACTAATAGTTAGTCCTTATGAGTAGAGGACTGTCGACGTGCAATCTGAGCTAGTTGCAAGCTTGGAGTATGGTTATGTCTTCGGCAGTATGCATCTGTATGTCTGCCTATGTAATTTTCCTATACATGCCAGTACTCCTTTAGTTTTTTTCTTTCGGATGCATTGGAACGATGAACATTTGCAAGCAATTATCCATATTCATACACGCGACGACTATACTTCATTTCCATATATCATTTGAAATTGCAATCAAATTTGTATACTAATCGTAGAGATTATATACATTATCACGTTATACAAAAAATAAAATAAAATTGGCTAGGAAATATGATAAATATAACGAAATATGATAAATATAAATATAAATATATCTGAAAAAGTTACTAGTAAATGTTATTATATTTTCGAACTAAATTCTCGCACTAAATTTTCTTCTTCCAACCTTTCTTTATTATATTATTTTACTAACTGACAAGCTAACGTTTAAAATAATTGAAAATATAACTTCAGTTTTACAATGTAATATAAAATTGAAATAACTTAACTACTCCTTTCTCTACAGTTATTTTTATTTTTGTTTCTAGAATTCGCAAACATATATAAATCGAAAGGGTCATTCCACGTGAATTCGGATATTTTTTGAATACAGTAGTTCAAGATCTTCGTGAAATTTGAATATGTCGTAGTCTTCTTAGAGATGTATAAAATTAAACCTTTTTTTTTATTTTTTACGTGGGGGAAATCTGCTGGTCAGACACCCCCGCCCCGCCCGGGGGAGCGGAGCGGGAGTAGTGCGAGATTTGACTCTCTGAAACCCCCACGGCGACCTCGGGACGCTGTGCCTGACGCTGGCGGATTATGGGGGATCCACGGGAACTCTTGAAGAACACTACCGCGGCTCCCCCTTGCCTGGCCGGCCACCAGGATAGAAAAGCGGTGGCCGGCCGCGTCCCGGAGGGAGATAAATCCTCCCCCCTTGAATCTTCTTGATTCGGCGGTGCAAGGGGCCGCACCCCGCACCGCCGCGTCACGGCGGCCGCACAAAAATGTTCCCAGGGCCCCCGCCCTGGGCCCAGCGGCCGCCGGGGGGGGGGGGCGACGAGTCACCTCAAAGAAGAGGCGAGTCGTCACCCCCCACTCCCAACAGGGGAGAACCTCTTCTATTTGCGGGTGGCGGGCACTAAGTCCAGCAAGAGCTGGTTCACCCGCCGCCCGCCTACCCTCAGCTGCTCGGGGACTTGAGGCGTGGGCGCACACGCCGCCCCCGAGCTAGTCGGTCCCGATCACGACCTCGCCCGGCAGCCTCCTTCTGGAACATTACCTGTTCGCAGAAGGAGATTGCTGCCGCCCATTTTCTAGGGCTCTCCAGCATGGCCCCAACTAAGTTGGAGAGAGCGAGGTCGTGACCGACTTCCCGGTTTAGGACTCGGCGCAGCGCTGAAAAGGTGGGGCATTCCTCCAGCGTATGCTGCGCCGAGTCTTCCTCCGCGCCACAGTGGTGGCACACCGTCGTCGCTTCCCAACCGATGCGACAAAGATAAACACCGAAGCTGCCATGCCCGGTGAATACCTGCGTCGCCCGGTAGGTGAGCCTGCCATGCCGCCTCTCTCGCCACGAGGTAAAGTGTGGCAGGAGGGCCCCGGCGACGCGCTCGCCGGCGTGGGAACAGAGTTCCGCATGCCATTTGGCGAGCGCTAGTCGCCGGGCCCGGAGCTCGTACCCCTCGACCGCCTCTCGCTTTGGCGGTTCCCCCCGAGCCTGGGCAGCGACGCGTATGCGCCTATAAATATAGGCGCGCATCGCCGCCTGTAGCTCGAAGGGAATTTCTCCCGCCAGAGCAAGCGCCGCCACGGTGGACGTGGTGCGGTAACCTCTAGTAAGGCGGATGGCCATCCACCTTTGCAGCCGGCGCAGTAATAAGACCCTGCGCCGGCTGGCCATCACGGCTGGCGCCCAAATTGGAGCGCCATACAAGGCCATGGACCGCACCACGCCCAAGTACAGGAGGCGCACCCAATCCTCCGCCCCCCCCCCCGAGGTTGGGCAATAGGCGGCCTAAGGAGACCGCCACCCCATCCACTCGGGGAACGAGGCGGTCAAGGTGCGCATCGAAGCTCCAGTGGCTGTCGAGGATCAGTCCAAGATACTTCATCTTGGACTTCACCTCGACGCAGGCTTCTCCAACCCGGATCCACGATCTGGCCGGTGGCCGGGACCGAGGCCGTCCGTGAAACCAGACGCCCTCGGCCTTCTCCGGGGCTATTGTCAGCCCCAGGTCGTGGATCCTCGCGATGACGTCTGCCACCGCATCCTCCGCTCGTCGGATGGTCCTCTCGAAGGTGTCCCCGACGGCGACCACCAACGTGTCGTCCGCGTAGCTGACCATGGTGGCACCGTCGGGCAGGGAGGCTTTCTCCAGGACCGCGTTGTACCCCAGGTCCCACAGGAGAGGTCTTAAGACGGACCCCTGTGGGACCCCGCGGTCCACCTCCCTCCGAATCATCCCGTGCCGGCACGGGTATTCTACCCACCTGCCCCGCAGGTAGGCCCCAATTACCCGCCTTAAATAGGGAGGCACCTCGTTCCTTAAGAGGACCATCCGACCTACCTTCCAGAGATCGGGGAAAATCCACGACAGTCCGGGGCAGTATTCTTACCCCGGAGCCATTTGACGACCCCGTCCATTTCCTCTGGCACAGGGGCAAGCCGGGACGCCTCCCCACTAATAGGGAATAAGGCGCCCACGACCCGCCTGAGCATCCCCGGATCCAGGCTCTCCGTCACGGGGGGCGCCCAAGGACGTAATCGTCCCATTGCTATCTTGTATGGGCGCCCCCACGGATCTCGACTCAGAGAGCCGAGGAAGTAGCGCCAGGCCTGGTCGTTTGCCCGCCTGATGGCCAGCTACAGGACGACCACCTTCTCCCTGTATCGCCCATACAGCTGTGCAGCCTGCACGTCGTCTCCTCTTCGTCGTCGACGGGCGCGGGCGTACGTGCGTCGCGCGCGAACGCACTCAGTGCGTAAATCCGCTATGGCGCGCGACCACCAGTACACCGACTTCCGCCTTCCTGTCGACGGGCCCAGCCGGTGTACCTGGCCAGGCCACGACGTGGGCTGCCGCCATCAGAGCGTCCTGGTCGAGACGCTTCAGCGCCCACCGCGGCTGAGGCGAACCCTCATTGGCGGGGCGACGTTGGGGTGTCGATGCGACAGCGGAGAGGCCGAGAACAATATATCTGTGGTCAGATAATGTCTCGACCTCCTCCGCCACCCTCCACCCCGTAATATGTCGCGCGGCCGGGGCTGTTGCCTACGAGAGGTCAACAATAGAGCCCCCGTTATGCCGCACGCACGTATGGACCGAGCCCGTGTTTAGGAGACGGAGCTCAAGTCCCGCCGCCCACTCTAGCACCTCCCGGCCCCTCGCGTCCGTCCTGGGAGACCCCCAGGCCGTAGCCTTGGCATTGAGGTCCCCCAGGACCAGCACCGGACGGGACAGGCAGCGGGAGACGCATCTCCCTACCTCGTCCAGGCACTGTTCGAACTCTTCAAGGGACCGTCTAGGAGGCGCGTAGATCGCCACAACCGCGGTGCCGCCCCAATCAACAGCCAGGAATCCCCAGTCGCGTTCGATGACCGAGCACGCCGGGGATCCCGGCCTACCTACCCAGTATATGGCGGCGGAGCCGCCTGAGTCCCCCATCCAATGAGGATGGTCGGGGACCCTATATGGCTCCGCCACCACGGCCAACCCTGCACCCCGCTCGGCCAGGTATTGCACAAGTAGGTCTTGTGCCCTGGCCGAGTGGTTCAGGTTGGCCTGTATTATGAGGCCACTAGGCCCCATTATACGCCCACTTCGATGTCCATCGCGGCCGCGGGAGCGGTGGCGTCTGGAGCTGTATTTGCTCCATCCACCCCTGCGGGCGCGACAGTGGCATCAAGTGATGCCATATTCTCTTTGTTAGCCACGGTGGCCGCCGCCTTGGCCACCGTGGCTTTCTTCTCCTCATTTTTATTATATTCTTTATGCGGCTTTTTGCCGTCTCCCCTGCCTCTCTTCGCACCGACGGGACACGCCCGGCTGCCGAGGCGGTGGCCAGCCGGCCTGTCCGCGCCCGCACAAATCGTGCAATTGGGAGCGGCTGAACAGCTAGCCACCTTATGGTCCTGGCTGCCGCATCCATAGCAGCAGTCGGTCCTGTCCTCGGCGGCAGTGCACCGCTCCCTGGTGTGACCAACACCAAGGCAGCGGTAGCACTGCAGGGGCTGGGCGCTGAGGGCCTCGACCGTCACCAGGGTCCAGCCCACAGTCAACCTCCCTGCGACCGCAACTTTACGAGCGGCCGCAGCAGGGCACTGGACCCAGATGGTGCCCAGTGCTGAGGGGGAAGACCGGATTTCGCCGGTCCTCACATCCCTCTCAGAGTACCCTCCAACACGGGCGACGGCCGCGACAACCTCCGCCGGTGTGGTCGAATCGACCAGGCCGCGCACCCTCAAATCGGTCTTTTTGACTAGGCGCGCGACTTTCATGCCGGTTCCCGCTAATGCGTCGGCCACTTTCGTAGCGAGGGCGGTGGCCTTGGCAGCACCATCAGCGCCTGGAACCTCCAGGATGATTGCACCAGTCACCGCCCTTCGCGGCCTTAGCGAGGCGATGCCAATCTCCGCAAGGTCGACCTTCGACCTCGCGGTGGCCATTGCCTGCGCATACGTCATAGCCCCGCCAGACGGGACCGTGATGGTCACCGCGGCTGTACGGGGCGGACGCGGAGGCAGGAGAGCCTTTTTCGGGGGCGCTGGGGCCACCCGCCCCGCCCTCTTCCCGGTCAGTGAGGCCTTGACGGCCGTCGCAGTTTTAACCGCGGCAGCCGCCTTTTTGGCGTTTCGGCCAATCACCCTCGACCACGCCTCCTGGTTTGTAGGCGTGGCGGAAGGCGGCAAAGCGCTGGGGGTGGCCCGGGTAGTGGGCTCCGGCTGGGCTGCCTCAGCGACCCCAGATTTCCCCTTCTTGTTTTCCTTTTCTGCCGCCTCTCCCCGTCCATAGACGGAGGGGGGACGGATGGTATGGATGCCGCCGGTCGCGTGCCCTGCACCCACGGCGTAATCTCTTTCCTAAACGATGCCAATTTGGCATCGATTAGAGCCCCAAACTGTGCCAGCAGATCCGCTGGCACCGCCGCAGGTGGGGACGAGGATTTACCTCGCCCCGAGCATTGAGGCGCTTGGTTACCGGCGACCGATGGCGGCACCACATCCTCCCTGAGGACCAGCGGCGGAAGCAACACGGCAGTAGCCGGCCTCCCCTCCACCGCCTGACGTAGCCGGGCTACTTCCGCCCGTAGCTCCTTCATTTGTCCCTGTAGGAGGGCATTGGCGGTGGCGGTCTGTGGCCACCCAGGGTTGAGAGGCGACCCCCGAACTAGTCCTCGCGAAGGTTGCTGCTACTACCGAGTCGATGGGTGCGTCGACGATGAAGGCATTTTAGACCGTCAGTGCGTCGTACATGTAGTACTTCGCATAATGGCGAGGCCCGAGATTAAGCATGCGGGCTGTGGCGTGTTCATGTACAGCATTGAATATGCTGTACTACTCCCTACCGGGGGACTGTTGTCACTTGTGGCTGCAGTCCCCCGCGTCACGTTATGCGGTTTTTCTGGTCTGACTGGAATGCCGCATTTTCGTTGTCTGAACACGCCACGAAGCAACACGCCGTCGGATTGAATGTTGCTGCTGAGTCGATAGGTGCATCGGCGATGAAGGCACTCGAGACCGTCAGTGCGTTGTACATGTAGTGCTTCGCATAATGACGAGGCCCGTGATTAAGCAAGCGGGCTGTGGCGTGTTCTTGTGCAGTATTGAACATGCTGTACTACTCCCATCCGGGGGACTGTTGTCACTTGTGGCTTCAGTCCCCCGCGTTACGTTATGCGGTTTTTCTGGTCTGACTGGAATGCCGCATTTTCGTTATCTGAACACGCCACAAAGCAACACGCCGACGGATTGAATGCTGCCGAGTTGACGGATGCATCAGATGCATCGGCGATGAGGGTATTTGAGACCGCCAGTGCGTTGTACATGTAGTACTTCGCATAATGGCGAGGCCCCTGAACTAAGCATACGGGCTGTGGCGTGTTCATGTACAGCATTGAATATGCTGTACTACTCCCTACCGGGGGACTGTTGTCACTTGTGGCTGCAGTCCCCCGCGTCACGTTATGCGGTTTTTCTGGTCTGACTGGAATGCCGCATTTTCGTTGTCTGAACACGCCACAAAGCAACACGCCGACGGATTGAATGCTGCTGCTGAGTCGATAGGTGCATCGGCGATGAAGGCACTTGAGACCGTCAGTGCGTTGTACATGTAGTGCTTCGCATAATGACGAGGCCCGTGATTAAGCAAGCGGGCTGTGGCGTGTTCTTGTGCAGTATTGAACATGCTGTACTACTCCCATCCGGGGGACTGTTGTCACTTGTGGCTTCAGTCCCCCGCGTTACGTTATGCGGTTTTTCTGGTCTGACTGGAATGCCGCATTTTCGTTATCTGAACACGCCACAAAGCAACACGCCGACGGATTGAATGCTGCCGAGTTGACGGATGCATCAGATGCATCGGCGATGAGGGTATTTGAGACCGCCAGTGCGTTGTACATGTAGTACTTCGCATAATGGCGAGGCCCCTGAACTAAGCATACGGGCTGTGGCGTGTTCATGTACAGCATTGAATATGCTGTACTACTCCCTACCGGGGGACTGTTGTCACTTGTGGCTGCAGTCCCCCGCGTCACGTTATGCGGTTTTTCTGGTCTGACTGGAATGCCGCATTTTCGTTGTCTGAACACGCCACGAAGCAACACGCCGTCGGATTGAATGTTGCTGCTGAGTCGATAGGTGCATCGGCGATGAAGGCACTCGAGACCGTCAGTGCGTTGTACATGTAGTGCTTCGCATAATGACGAGGCCCGTGATTAAGCAAGCGGGCTGTGGCGTGTTCTTGTGCAGTATTGAACATGCTGTACTACTCCCATCCGGGGGACTGTTGTCACTTGTGGCTTCAGTCCCCCGCGTTACGTTATGCGGTTTTTCTGGTCTGACTGGAATGCCGCATTTTCGTTATCTGAACACGCCACAAAGCAACACGCCGACGGATTGAATGCTGCTGCCGAGTTGACGGATGCATCAGATGCATCGGCGATGAGGGTATTTGGACCGCCAGTGCGTTGTACATGTAGTACTTCGCATAATGGCGAGGCCCCTGAACTAAGCATACGGGCTGTGGCGTGTTCATGTACAGCATTGAATATGCTGTACTACTCCCTACCGGGGGACTGTTGTCACTTGTGGCTGCAGTCCCCCGCGTCACGTTATGCGGTTTTTCTGGTCTGACTGGAATGCCGCATTTTCGTTGTCTGAACACGCCACAAAGCAACACGCCGACGGATTGAATGCTGCTGCCGAGTTGACGGATGCATCAGATGCATCGGCGATGAGGGTATTTGGACCGCCAGTGCGTTGTACATGTAGTACTTCGCATAATGGCGAGGCCCCTGAACTAAGCATACGGGCTGTGGCGTGTTCATGTACAGCATTGAATATGCTGTACTACTCCCTACCGGGGGACTGTTGTCACTTGTGGCTGCAGTCCCCCGCGTCACGTTATGCGGTTTTTCTGGTCTGACTGGAATGCCGCATTTTCGTTGTCTGAACACGCCACAAAGCAACACGCCGACGGATTGAATGCTGCTGCCGAGTTGACGGATGCATCAGATGCATCGGCGATGAGGGTATTTGAGACCGCCAGTGCGTTGTACATGTAGTACTTCGCATAATGGCGAGGCCCCTGAACTAAGCATACGGGCTGTGGCGTGTTCATGTACAGCATTGAATATGCTGTACTACTCCCTACCGGGGGACTGTTGTCACTTGTGGCTGCAGTCCCCCGCGTCACGTTATGCGGTTTTTCTGGTCTGACTGGAATGCCGCATTTTCGTTGTCTGAACACGCCACAAAGCAACACGCCGACGGATTGAATGTTGCTGCTGAGTCGATAGGTGCATCGGCGATGAAGGCACTTGAGACCGTCAGTGCGTTGTACATGTAGTGCTTCGCATAATGACGAGGCCCGTGATTAAGCAAGCGGGCTGTGGCGTGTTCTTGTGCAGTATTGAACATGCTGTACTACTCCCATCCGGGGGACTGTTGTCACTTGTGGCTTCAGTCCCCCGCGTTACGTTATGCGGTTTTTCTGGTCTGACTGGAATGCCGCATTTTCGTTATCTGAACACGCCACAAAGCAACACGCCGACGGATTGAATGCTGCTGCCGAGTTGACGGATGCATCAGATGCATCGGCGATGAGGGTATTTGAGACCGCCAGTGCGTTGTACATGTAGTACTTCGCATAATGGCGAGGCCCCTGAACTAAGCATACGGGCTGTGGCGTGTTCATGTACAGCATTGAATATGCTGTACTACTCCCTACCGGGGGACTGTTGTCACTTGTGGCTGCAGTCCCCCGCGTCACGTTATGCGGTTTTTCTGGTCTGACTGGAATGCCGCATTTTCGTTGTCTGAACGCGCCACGTAGCAACATGCCGCTGGATCTAGAAATCGGGATGCAACCAATCACCTGGGCAACCCAGGCCGCAAGGGGCAAACGTGCCCTAGCCACACTTGAGCCTCCACGAAATAAGGTACCGCTGGATAGCTCGTATTCTCAAAACGCAGCGAACCGAACGAAGTGTGGTGGAGAGGAAGAGGCAGCCTCTCCGACTGCTGTCTCCCGCGTGTTTGCCGTGCGTGGCGACCCTTGTCGTCGGAAAAGAGGATCCTGGGATCTGAGGG